TCCCGTGCCTCTGAGGCTTTGCTCTGGCAAAGCCTCAGAAGCGCGGGAACCCGCCCAGTGCCCCTGGTCTGCTGGAGACAGTCTCCAGCAGACCGGGGCACCGGATGCCTCTGAGGCTTTGCTCTGGCAAAGCCTCAGAAGCGCGGGAACCCGCCCGGTGCCCCATGTCTGCTGGAGACGGTCTCCAGCAGACCAGGGGCACCGGAGCAGCTTACGAACGGGGCTTTCTCGCCCCGACTTCCGGGGCTAGACCCGGCTAGACCCGGCCAGCGGCAGAGACGCGCTGAGCCCGCCCGAGACGCTGTTCTCGAGACGCTGACTCGAGTATAAGCCGAGGGGGGCATTATTCAGCACAAAAAATGTGCTGAAAAACTCGGCTTATACTCGAGTATATACGGTAATTGCTAGAATTCCTACCACACTTGTTTTCCAAGTTTTTTTAACTATTTCATTCATGTCAGAGTGACCATCAGTTCTTTCAATTTTTGCTGCCAGTCTCCTTTTCCTCTTCCCTCCCTCCCTGTCAGTCCTTGTTGGAAGAATTGCAGTTCAGATTTGTCACTTAAAGATTCAGAAAATAAAATCAGAAGCTCTTAATCTAACTTCTCCATCTTTGTTTAGAATTTATTCTGCTGTACTGTTGATTAGGGATGTTAAACTTTGTGTAATCAGCTAATTGAGTAGTCAATGGAATTTCCATCAACTGCTAGATTAGTCTGCAACAGAACTGCAGAGCTACAGCAGGGTTAGCTCTTGGCCCTGGGTACTCACCACACTGCGACTCTGCTTTTTAAATGTATTAAGAGCTGCCAGGTACCAGTTCCTGCTCTTCCTGCCTACTGCCTCTCTCATGGAGGCAGCGGGGAGTGACTAGTCCAGAAACTGCTCGATTACCTGACAAGCATATGCTTACATCCCAAGTGTTGGCCTATGGTATGGGGAAAATTTGTGTCTAAATTTTTCTTCCTTAGCTGTGGAGATTCCCTGTAGTGTTTAGATGCTTGTGGAGGAGAGGTCTTTGGCATCTAAAGACTTTAGCATGTCTCAAGGAGAAGGGTCTTTCAGTATGAAATATTCTCTCCTATTTTTATATTAGAAATAGTAAATTGGAGCTTTATTAAAGTTTGGTGTCCATAATTAGGTTTTTTGTGTACAAGTATCTTACATGGTTTGGAGTGAAATGGATGCATTGGTAGTAAGGATGTAAGCCCCTTTGGGGCTTTTGTATATTTCAAAAGCAAAAGGAGGGACTGCAGCTGGTGCTGGGGGATCTGGTTTAAAAGCTGGTTCCCCCAGCACCCTCTCTGGAATGCTGCTTGCCCCCCAGAGGGTGGATAGAGGACACTGCTGTGAAATAGCCCCTGTCCACAGGGGTCCCTGTGGGCACTGGGTCCCCCCCATGGACAAGGGCTGTTGCCACCAAGCAACCCCTGTTTGCAGAGGACAGGGGCTACTTGTGTGGCCAGCCCTGGCTGCTATGAACAGGAGCTGGTGCTGGAGCAGTCTCTCTCTCCAGGGGCTGTCTGCCATGATCAAGAGCCATTTGACTCAGCGGGAATCAGGACCAAGCAGTCTGGCTTGTGCTGATCACCGTGGCTCTGCATTTTAAATATAGTAAGAACTTAATGGCTCTTGCTACATTTAAAATGCAGAGCTGCAGCATGGGTGGCTCTGGAGCCAGCATGAACTAGGCCTTCTCAGTCCCAGCTCAAGTTGGCTCCTCTGGAACTACACCCACTGTGGCTCTGCAGAGGGGCTTATTGACTAATCATATACACGCAGTCCCCGACTTACGCAGATCCGACTTATGTCGGATCCGCAGTTACGAACAGGGCTCCCCGAAGGACACGGACTGCAGGACCTCACGGTCCTGCCGCCCGTGTACTCCGGGGCTTTCTCCGTATCTCCCTGGTCTGCAGACCAGGAAGACGCGGAGCAAAGCCGCGGGGGGGTCGGGCAGCGAGGCAGCCCAGGCACGCCTGGGCTGCTC